CTTTCCCTTAGGTCTATAAGCAAATAGCATAATTTAAACAAAATTGAAATTTCATATTGCACAGGTGCAAAACAGATATTCTAATTATTTATAACCCTTTCTATTCATTGTCTGTTCCTTAATTGCCCCCAAGCTAGCTTTTACAGAGGCATAGCCACCTGGAAAAGTTTTGCTTCTGAATTTATGTGCAAACAGAATATTTTTTAAATGCTTTGCTAACAGAAGAGACTCTAACAAAGCATGTCTTTACAATACAACATAGTTAGAACATAAATGTGTTTATAGATAGATAAAAACCCTTCCCCTTGCAGTACAAAACAGAATATGCAGAGTGGCAGTTAAAAGAGGCATTTTACAAAATCTTATGGTTGTGTAGAAGTGAGGGAAAATTATATTTGAAATTTTCTGATAGGAATATAATATATAACAAAAATGTTCTTGTACTACATTTCCCCTCTATTTCTTTATTTGTGGCATATAATGGAATTTTTGAAAACATATTTTTTTTAAAATGACCAGTAGGAAATAAATCTAATGGGACTTATTAGTGTCTATTAAGATTGAAAGGAATTGTCCTGAACTACAGTCCTCCTCCACCCCGTAGTTTCAAAAAGTTTTTGCCAGCTAAGAAAATTTGAGTAACAAAGTGGAATAATCCTTTTGATTTACAAGCTGTCCAAACTTTACAAGCTGGATGAGAGGACAGGAAAAAAAAAATGCAGTATGTGAACTAACCAGAAAATTACTGCTGGATTCAGCTGTCAAGAAAGATGTTAGGAGTTCAGTTGATCATAATTTACAAGTACTAGCATGAAAAAGTGAGTGCTTGCAGTAGACAGTTCTTTAGCAGAATGGGACGTAAATATATACAGTTGTCAGAAGCTAAACAGTTTGAAGTCAGAAATAGGATGAAAATCCTTTTATCAAGTAAGGCTATGTAAACACTGGAACTACTGATCAAGGGTTATAGATCAAGATCTCATATTTGTCACAATGGCTGGAGGGTTTTTTCCTGTGGTTGTTGGAAGCATGACCAGAGATTACTGGAAGAGCATCTGTGATCTTTTTCCTGTGTGGGGCTGCACAGCTCGTCACAAGGGGCGCTTTAAAGTATCTGCGACATTCAGCAGCACAAAGCAGCTCCTTAGAGAATCTTGGGAGGAGAAGCACGAGCAGAAATCCCCCTGTCTATAGATGACATTAAATGAGAAAAACACTCTAATGGCAAAGTTCGCTTTACTTGTTGGGACTGCTGTTGTTTGGGTTACAGCTTTGCAACGACACCTGTTCTCTTCAACTAACGGTGTAATTACATAAAATACATTATTCTGTTCTGCAGAGTGTTCCCAGCACAGACATTGTCACAGCATTTGTGGGGAAGGCACTGTAGAAAAGTGGCAAAAGTAGGAATTTCTTTTTTAATTACTCCGGGCAGGCTCAGAGCTGTGGCGGATGGGATCCCACAAATGCAGGGAGATAAGACAACTCCATCCCCAGATGGCCTGGCCTGTCCTTCCGTGCAAGATTATTGTCCCCGAGGCAGAGCTGGCAGGAGAGAACTGCAGAAGTGCGCAGCCTGCGTTTTATTTCAGGCCTCCCTTCATGAGCAGTTTAAATGTTGAATCCCAATAGTATTCTGGTAGCTCCTGCACAGTGACAGTACGTGTCCCACACCGTCACTGCACTCATTCCAGCAAGGTGAAAGTGCACAATCCTGGGGCCTCTATACGTGCAAGGCATCTCTTTGTCAAAACCACTATTCTACCATCAAAAGTTTTTAGTAACTCTTTCTGCGCTTGCATCTGACATATTAAGAGTAACTTTACATTCCATTAGCTTTGCACATTTACCTATGCTTTAACTGAAATGGCTTTTTGGATCTGCAACATTGCAAAGCAAGCTGTTTTATTTAGTATTTCCAGAATGCTGGATAGCAAGCTTAATGTCTATACTGTACCTTCTAAGATTTTGGTTGAATTACTATGAATTTCTAATTCCACGCTGTAAATCCTAATACTTTTACAGCTACTAACCTGATGCTCTTAGGAGGTAGGAACAGACAACATCTATATGCTTCTCCTGGATTGCAAGCTTTCTACCACCACCCTGACTTCAGTTTTCTATCTTAAACTTGTAGGGGTTTTAATTTAGGAATCTGAAGAAGTTGGGAGCAAATTACTTTCTTGCTATTTGTTTGTTTCAATTATTACAGTGAGAAGAACTGTTCAGAGATGTGGGAAGCATTTAAAAATGCATTTATTAACAAGGATCCTTGCAGCATTGTACCTAAGGACTATGAATTATTTATCAACTTGTCATTGCACCCAATTCCACCTAACAAGGTAATGTTTATTAATGTTAACAGTCCTGTGACATCCAGTTCATTTTCTGTGACACAGTTCAGAATTGACCAAGAGTCATTCTGTGGCTGACTCACGATTTATTATTTTTGGCCTGTCTGTAGTTACAAACTTGATGGCATTTTTCCATATGTCTAGCTGCATTTATTTTATGTGGTAACTTCACAGCAACTTTGCTATTTTCATACTGCAAACATCCCCCGTTTTTCCAGCCTTGCAGGGAGTTCTATCGTAGTCCCTGGACTTCCACTTCTACTTTTCCTCAGATTAGGTGCTCTACATGCAAAGACTGCACCCGCTATCGTCTTCTGCTTCCTCTCCTCACAACCAAATTTCAGGGCTATGACACATTAAACAAGCATAAGCAGAAATGAGATAGGACGCTCTTATATGCCAAAAAAACCCAAAATAGTAAGGGTTTGATGCGCTGGCAATTACAGAGAACTGTGGAAGTGCAAAAAAAATGGCTCTTCATGCCAACACATCCCATCAGAACATGTGCCCTTGTACCCCTCCCTAAAAGGTTGTACTTTAAAGCACTTCTTCCTCTATCATTCTGTATCTCTAAATGGTACAAGCTAAACCAACAAATACTCCTGTCAACATAGCTTAATTCATGAAAGAGTTCTGCAAACACAGAAATACATCTAGACATATGATTTTTTTCACACCATAAGCCAACGTAGCAGTGTGAGAGTATTCTGGTAAAATCTATCTGGCTTATAAGTATCTGTCATCCCTTTTTTCTCCCTTTTTCTAAATCTGTTGGCTGAGGAATGCAAAGCAAGGTCTAACTGTATTTAATATAGGTCTATATCCATACTTATCATGTTATGAGTGCCACTTAAGCCTCTAGAGAACAAAATTTACACCAGCTGTAAAAAAAAACCAACTGAGCAAACAAACAAAATACCTCACTTTGTTCCTCTAATGAGATAGCTAATATTGCTGGTTATTAGCTTGATTTGGGAAGAAATACCAAAACATGTTTTAAACTGTTTTCAGCAGCCCATAATCTCCATGTGTCCACAACCAAATGATGGTTTATTTCTTTTTTTTTTTTTTTTTTCTTTTTTTCTCTTTGTATATAGTCTCTCTTCTGGGAAAATAATCAGCTGCTAGTCAATAGCTTTGCTGGTAGAGGCCGTCGCTACATGGCTCTGGCTGATACTCTGTTTGGCTTCGTTGGAGATTTTCTGAACTGGTGTGGGCAGGCAAACAGCACCGGTAAGATGAAGAGTACTGTGTAAAACATGTGTGTAGAACCATAAAGGAGACCAACCGCTGTGTCCTAGAGGAGTTAATTTTGCTCTTAACCCACGAAAAAACAGGGATAGCTTCACTGTCTCTTTCTCTCCTGCTTTTTGTGAATGTTTAACATTGCAGTCAAGGGAGCATACAATGAAATGTAAAAAGTGCTGCACAGGAGATAAACCTCCTTCTCAATTCTCTGAACACAGAGCTCTCTCCATCCCAGGTCCAGAGTTAGAGACATTTCAGCCAAATCGTTGAATCCACAGAATGTCACTGTGTAAACTGCAGAGGATGGAAAAATGATAGAAAAAAATCAGCTTTCAGTGTTATGTCAGACCATCTTGTGTGTTCAGTGAATAACGCACTCATATATTTAACTGCTTTCTAAGGTCACTTTTTATAGTCCTTATCTAACAGCACAAATCACATGTCTTCCTACAGGACTGGACTATGAATCCTGCCCTACCACAGAGGAATGTGAAAACAACGCGGTGGAATCTTTCTGGCGGATGGCCTCAGTCACTGTAAATAGTGCATTAGTGCTGACTTTGTACATTGGTGAGGGTGTCCTGGGTAATTGAGGAAAAAATGGCCAGCTCAAAACAGATTTAAGTTATAACAGTGCTAGATTATTTCTTCTGATAAAAATACACTCTTTTAGAGAGAGGAAACTAACTTTCACCTTAGCTAGATAATGTGTTAAAATTCTACGTTAGCTTTGTTAATATATGTTAAGCATATGCTAAGCACAGTAAGTACACTAGTTGTCTACTGAATACAGGTCCTAAGTGACATTTGACAGCCTTGTTGGAAGCTCTTAATTCAACAATCCAACCCATCACGGAGTGCCAAAATGCTTTCCTCTAATGCTGAAGAAACTATTTGTGAGAAAATAGTTCGAGAAGATTCACTGAATTAATGCACTGACTATTTAGTTCTTGTCCTCTGTACCACAATGATGTGCTAATGTGCTAGTTTGCTATTATTTTCAGAATTCTGATATTCTTCTTGCTAAAATTCTTTCCTTATTCGTTGTTGCTTGCAATACAATACCAAGTCATGTAAGAAATCTGTAAAATGAGTTCTGAAGAAAAATGGTTATGTATTGCAGTATGCACAGCACAGTTCTGGGATGATACACGTCTTGTTGAATGGTTCTGCAGTCGGAGGAGCTTATCCAGCCCCAGGGTAAGAAAACTGATTTATTTACATGTGCAGGGCCTGATGCCTGCAAAAAAAAGGGTAAACAAGTTGTCTGTGTCTTCTGCTGCACAAAGCATGGAAAGCTAGCTAAAAGAGCCTGTTACATCAAAGTCTGCTGAGTTGTGGGGACAACTGTTAATTGTCTCCAGCTGTAGGGATTAATGTGAAATAAGTGGAGACAATCCTTTTGACTCCTTAATTCTACAAACTGCTGTGGCAAGCAGGGTATGTGCTCTTTGTAAGCAGCCTAAAAGTCAGCCAGCATACCATGGCAAAATGTCTTCAAAAAGATACGCATTACACAATTTCTATTCAGACACATCTTCAGGGAGAGGACATCCTTACGAGGCATGTAGCCTCTGTCAGGCTGTGGTAGGTTCTATAGGCAAAGTGCTTTGTCTTGCTGTTTCTCTATGACCAAGAGGAGATCCATTATGGTTTAAGAAAGCAAAAAATCACATTGAGAATGATAATAGCAAGGATTAGTTTCCCATTCTCCTTATACCCTTGTATATTAAGGACAGAGATGTTTTCCCTGATTTACAAGTATATCACTGTGCAGAAGTTCATCTAAGCTTATATTTAAAATTTACTGTAAGAGTACACCCTTAAGAACTTGTACTGAATATGTGGCTGTAGTGATTGCCTAGTCTTAATGAAAAATACATCTTTCCTTACCTCAGCAACTGTCCTGTCCAATGTAGATCACAAAAAACCTCATCTTTTAAAAACCCATAGAATAGAACCACCTTCTTTGTGCTTATTGAAGACTAAAAATGATCATTGAAAAGTTAATTTTATCTCCAGATAGATAGGAGAGAAACAAGTACATCTGTTCCAATACATCTGCTACCTACTTACCTCTGTCCCCTGAAAGGTGCATCTCTGTACACAACTTCCAGCTAATCAAGACCTATAATGGTCTCCTTGGGCTTGTCAGGTAGTCAGCTGGGATCAAGTCTTCTGCAGATGATAAAACTTGGCAGCAAGTCAATGCCTGGAATCCAGTACCGATTCTTTATTTCAGGAATAAATTCCTCATTTCCATTAATTTACAGATTCCTTATTTCAGAAATCACTTGCACATAAATGATTTCCACCAATTCCTGGACTGCCTGTCTGGAGGTATTGTGACCAGTGAAATCTCCACCAATGGAACACAGCCTGCCAAGAAAAAAACAGACAGTTACTCCATCTCTTTTCTTTGCTGTGTATCTTCTGGTCCATTTATGACCAAATTTAAGTGATCTAGTTTGAAAGAGGTTTAGAGTTGAATAATTAATAGCAGAAGGTAATCTGAAAGATCTACTTGTGTACCTAAACATCTCCTCCTATCTGTTTTCGAGCATTTCAAAGCCACTGATGAAGTTTATCCTGCATTACGGTTTGTACACTTAAATTATCATTAAGTCACATATTACCATTTCAGTTAAGATTTTCTTCTCACTTCACTGCTATAACTTTGCTCATTCACACAGTATGAGTGTAGTTGGCAGATTTCTTTAGTAATATTAGTCAGTTCAAAAATTGTTTTACTGCAGTCAGTTGTACATTGTTCCTCCAGAGCTTCTGACTCCTCTAGTTAAAGATTCCTTTGTATTTTGGAGAAAGCTGCATTTTTGCATTCATATGCATGAATGAGAAAATAGTTAAAAATAACTGGAATATTTATTTTGTGTTATATTTTCACTGTGTGTTTAAAACAGGCTTGGACACCTTGAACAGACAGACAAACCTGGTGTTGCTACTTACTGGTCTCTGGTTAGCCACCGCTGTACCACAGTTGACCAGAGAGGTCAGCTGTTGGTATCCACTTCTTCGTGTTCCACTTTTGCAGAAGTTTAAATTATCTTGCTGACTTCACGAGCAGGTCTCAGTTGGCTAGAAATGGACACTGACAACCACGTCTTGTGCTTTCATGCCACAGCCCCAGTAGTGTGCCTGCAGGCACCAGGAGGACAGAGCAGTGGTCACATTGCCACTGCTGGTCTCATCCAGGAGGTGACAAGTAAGAGTCCCTTCTAGGCTGGGGGGTGTCTCAGAGCATTTCATGTGGCTAAAGGACGCTGCAGCCCAGAAGTAGACATTTAAGATGATTTGTGATAGAGAAATCAGAGCACACACCTAGGCTTAGGCTTGGACCAAGAATTCAGTGTGGACACAGCCCTTATAAGCTCAGTACGGGGAGCGGGGAAAGCAATTAAAAAGTTGAAAATCTTGCTGGAAGGGTTAGAAATGCCTGCATCTCACAAAAAGTGCAATTTACAGACATTCAAATAATACTTTGCATTTGGCACCTTTAGGTTAGATATTTAGAACAAGGGTTTTTTCTGTGAGGGTGGTGAGACACTGGAACAGGTTGCCCAGGGAAATTGTGTTTCAGGCCAGGTTGGATGGGGCTTTGAGCAACCTAGTCTAGTGGAAGGTGTCCCTGCACTTGGCAGGGAGGTTGGAACTAGGCCATCTTTAAGGTCTCTTCCAACCCAAACCACTCTATGATTCTATGATTCAGTTGCCATTTTATTATCTTGGTTTAATTGTTATTTAAATACTTATCAAAGTCAATTTACACAAAGCAATAAAGTGTAAGATTCCATAGGCTAGGGATGGACACGTCTAGAATTTTCTCCTGTATGGTCTTATATATTCTAGACAAATACTTCATATTACTGATGATATATTTTTGTACCTAAAAATATATTTGTCTTGTGCCTTTTTTTTCTTTAAAGCAAAATAGTGTTGGTCTAAAAGCAGTAACTACAAGAATGACCTTTTTCTTTTTGTATCAAGTATCGTATGTTTTTGTGGTTTATTTTTGCATTTTTTAAAGTTCACTTCATTCTGGTTCACCTCTAAGTTGTAATTTTTTTTTCCAGCTGAGCCCCTCTATGATGAAGAAAATGAAAATAAAACTTCATTAAAAGCCTTTGACCTGTGAGGGCATTCAGAATGTGAATCAGACTTTTTTTACTCTGTGTTGAGTCTGACTGTAATCAGAAGATACAAATGTAAAATCAAATAAAGCCATATCCTACAGCAGGATCAGAACCTTCATTAATGCAAATGGAAAGGAGATAAATTTTTTTTTCACATTATTTATAATTCTAAAAATTTTCTTCAATCAGTTTTTTTGCAGATTTTGAAATACCTCATTTCCGGAAAGACAAAATCTCACAAATTGTCATCTGGGTTGTGGATGATGTTCAAGGACCAGATACGTAAGTTATGTCTTCTGAAAAAATTAATTTTTCTTTTTTGGACCTGTCTTTAAACTTTCACCTTAGCTTTCTGTTTGATTATATTTGCATAGCAATCAAAATAAAAGTTATTTTAGATGCTTTCACTAACACAGAAGGCACACCCTGCCATTCCCAAAGAGTACAGAAATACAAGAATTAGACAAAATATAAATAAATTCTAATATTAGGCCTAGAGTCCACTCTTGGTTAGATGTGTGTGTATCTCAGATCTTGAGTGACGATACAGCACATACAGTTTTAGTAAGAAAAGAGTTGGTGTGAATGGCAGATGAAATACTGTCATGAAGGGTTTCTTTCACCTTGCCATAAAGATTCTTTTCATTTTCACCTATCTTAACTGAAAATTAGCAGAAGCAGAGAAATACCACCAGGGGCTTGTTTTCTTTCAACACTTAAAATCAATCAATTTAAAAAGGTCTTGTCAGGAGCTTGCTGGCATATTGCCAAAGACGAAGTGACTATTTAACAGAAAGACAAGGGACTCAAGTTTTAAAAAAAAAAAAAAGGCCCAGAATTAGGCCTGGTTTGGTATTGATTAAAGAAAGAATTAAATAGTCTATTCACTGTAGCTTTTGTGGCATCCCTACAAATATACATAGAAACATCAAAGTTGGAAAGGACCTTAAGATCATCAAGTCCAACCTACAGCCCTGCACCATCGTATCACTAAACCATCTCCTCAAGTGCCACATCCAGCCATTTTTTAAACACACCCAGGGATGGTGACTCCACCACCTCCCTCTGCAACCCATTCCAGTGCTTCACCACCCTTTCGGCGAAAAGGTTTTTCCTAATATCCAGTCACAGATGAGTTAGGAGTAGAGGAACTGAATAAATCAGTTTTACCTTGGCCACCTGCAGTGCCCCTGCAGTTTAATATAAACTGGTGGAACTTCACTGGTCTTAAAATTGCCCCAGCTGAAGAGAGGCCGGGAAAGGGGCTCAGATGTCACTATATCCACCACTGGGGATTGAATCCCTGGTGTGATCTGCATTCTTAGGAGTGTGAGGCTTCTGTTCTTGCTACTCAACACTTTTTAGTTGCATCCATTCATTTTTTGCCACTTCCCTTTTGCATCTCATTCCTTCTTTTTCCTGTCTCCTTTTGGTCCTCTTTCATTTAATTTTGGCACAGCTAGTCCAGACCACATGTTTTACCATAGTTCTGTGGAACCCATGAAGCACAGTTCAGATTAGTGCTTCTCAGTCTTTATTTTTAACTCAAAGAATCCTATCCTTTTGAGAAAACAAACAAGCAAAACAGAAACCAAACAACAGAATAAACCCAAAACATATAGCTCACCTTTGCAAAAGTTCTCCTTACTACAAAATAAAATTAAGACAAGCACTGAATGTCAATTTATTTTTCAGCTAACCGATACATGGGAACATTTGTGTATTTTTATTAATTGTTTTTTACAGTAATTTTGTTAGCCCCCCTATGATCTCTTTAGAGTCATGAGTATTTACTGAGCAATGAGTAAGTAGCACTGGCCCTGATACTTTGCTGGAGCAAGTTTTAGAGGTCTCACTAAGGTCTGTACTATGCTAAACTTTCTTTTGCTAATTGGACCACAAATTTTAAAATAGGTGCGATACACAGAAGCTGCATTTAGGATTGTTTCTGGTTTTGTCTCTCTCCGTGTGTTTTTCTGTTGTTCTGTATTCAAGAAAGAGGACAAGTTTCTAACAATAAGAATCATTCTAATTTATTATAACCAAATTATTCTGTAAAGACAGGTAGCATCAACTTTAGCACCGCGTAAATAGCTGCCAAAGAATACCATAAAGGAAACACTTACTATTTTACAAAATTATTTGGCTTTTTTTTCTGTTTATCTAGTGAAATGTTAAAGAGGGGAATACTGGTTAATAAAATCTGCAAACGCTGCACTGGCTGAACCCAATCTTCCAGTCTGCACACTGAGTATAAAGTATTAAATGACTGTAAGCAAATGAAGCATTACAAATAGCAATGTACACCAGTTTTCTGTAGGTGTTAAGGAATACAGAAGAGGTGAAGTAATGGGGATTTACTTTACTAATTCTATCAAGTTCAGTGAAAGGAAATTAGATAATAAAAGACTTGGAATAATATTAAAATCCTTTCTGCCAGAGAATCCTGTGGAACTCACAGTGTAAAGACGTTAGAAAACAGGCTGAAAAACCTTGGTTATGATGTCACCTGCACTGACAATTACAAGTAAGTGAAAAACCTTCATTAATGTGTATTTTCAGAAGCACCTCATATGTTCTAAATTGTTTCTTGCCTTCTAATAGTTAAGGGCCATTAATGTTGTGTCTTCAGTAAGTGACCAATATGTTGGAGGGGTGATGTCACATTTTTCAGCCATGATTGGAATTATACAATACAACGTTGTGTTTTGCTAAGTGGAACATTGTACTTACCCCATGTCAAGACACAGAAGATGGCCTTATATTCCACTTTGCTGAAAAATCTTTGTTTGGTTTGAAAGCCTAAACAACAGTTAAAAACACTATTAAATGTCTGCAGAATTAATTATAGTTATAAAACTATTAATTATAATTTATATAAATACATTAGTATTCACAGCTCTAGTTACAATAGACAGTTAAGATAAATATAATTGAAGGGAAGTTTTAGATAAACTAATACTGTTGACTCTGATCCCTTTTTTTTTTGTTTTTCTCAGTTTTCTGCCTGAAAGATGTTAACTAAAATGATATCTTCACAGGTCTGTAATGTTCTTACTCTGCCTGGATTATCCTGATCATTCTAGGTGTACCCTTTCATCGTAAGTAAAAGAAGTTCAGTCCATCCTCAGTGTCACTGTAACCAAGCAAATAATGCAGAAGTCAAGAGTTAACAGATTTCATCTCTATCATCTGTTATATATTACCCATACACAATATACAGTATTCTTGAATTCATTATTTACTGTGTATCAAGTAAGCAGTTTCTGTCTACAAATTGTGCACAACTGTGAGGACTTGCTATTCAGAATTAGGTGTTAATCAGTTCTCATCAATCACACTGTATATCACTGTTGGTATGAATTAAGTTTGTAAATCTCAGTATTCTGATGCAGGATCTTTTAGAAATTTGAAATTGCTTTCATTAATAGTCTTCCTTGAATGATGACATTGTGGGTCAAATGGCAACAGATCTAAAGGAAATTTCTCCAGCTACCTGAGCTTTCAGTTCCAAATTTTGAGGAAGTTTGTTGTGTTTTTTTTTAATATTCCATTTTGTGTGCAAACCAAATTTCTATATTTCAGAATGTTTACCCTGGGCCAGTATCTTATCTGCAGAGAATGCAGATTACATCCAAGACACAACTTTCTTAATTAGCAAGGATCACTCCGAAACTAGTTTCCCTTCTGTCCACATTTGGATAGGACAGAAACTAAGCGACTGTTTTCAATTGTGGCTAAATTTCTTAATCTGTATGCTGTTGCATGCATAGGTGTGTATAAGGTGCTTGAACATCTAAATATTAAAATTTCCTCATAGTTTGGAAAATTGCAGGATACATAGATGCATTAACTAGAATTTAAAATAATCTAATAACTAGGTACTCTAGTTGTATTATTTTTATGAAGAACCCATACATTTGGCCACATCCTATCTGCTACTGTCCTTTCTGCCCAATTTATGTAATACTGCAATGGTAACTTCTGCCATGAAAAACCTGATTTACTGTCCCTGGCTATGAGAGCAGAAAGGTACAACTCCTGCTTGCCTGCCTCTGGTTGTGTGCAGCAGGGCTTCATGCAGGACTGAAAAGGAGGTGTATATCACTTCCTGTAGCATATATTTAGTTTTTAATACACCCTCACAGAGAAAGTGGATATTCTCTGTTTCTGATGGTCACTGAAAGTTTTTACTCATCTCGTCATGGGACATTTATTCTTATGTTCAAATTAGATCCCAGCAGCAACTTATGTGTGATGAAAACAATGGCATTTTAGGTATCACTGATAGCTCCAGACTCCTCCTAGGTAGGAGATCATAGAAGAGTCTTCCAAGCCTCTTAAGGCATTTGTTTGTTACTAGATACCACTTGCACAGTGGATTAAAATCAGGTTTACTTGTTCTGCCAGTGAATGCTAAGGCTTTTTTTCATGTGTCAAAGGAAAATACAGTTGTCTCATGACATTAAACTGGAGGAAAAAGCACTTTACAGGACTTTAAAAAATATAACATTGTGGACTCTTTAACAGAATTTTCTCTTCTCCCAGGTTTTAAACCATGTCCCCTCAGAGTTTTGTGATGTGGGTACATTCCTCAGCTGAGGAAACCTGAATCGGAAGGCTTTTGGAAACCATTAATATCTTTTTCCTTTCACCTAAGGGATGAACATAGCAGTTCTTGAGTAGTACCACATAATAGTTGAAGTATGTAAGCAGGGGAGCAGACACCCCTTCCTTTCCATCCTTTTCGGTACTTAAATCAACGTAGCATATATTTAGCACTGGTCTCATACTCTCTTAAGCAACACAGCTGTTATCATCCTTCTTAGGAAAAGCTTCCTTGCTTCTTTCCTTCCTGGGCCTTCTATTCCCTCCTGTGTGCATGGCAATGTGATGGCCTTGATTTGCTTCACACCTGTGCTATCTCTAATCAAGACAGAGCTCTCCAGTCTGCCTTTCCCTGAAATTTATGTAGAAATTATTTTAAGCCAATGAATACTTACACTCTTCCCCAAATCACTTCTCTGAAATAACATCTCCATTGAAATTAGCTGCCCTTTTCAGAAAGCACCTTAAGCAGATTTATATAAATTATTTGATGATTATCTTCTAGATCTGTTTTCTCTGTGGATGGATCCCAGGTCTCTGATGGTCCATTAACTGACATAAGTCAGTTTGGTCAGTAGTGGCATCACAATTAAGCATGTTTCTGTGATGGAAAGGTTTCTTTCACAGGGTGTGTGTGCTCAGTGTACCCTCAGTGTTCCATACTTCCATAATAAATAGACTAGGCACACAGACACTGTTGCATCCCCTTTCACAATGGCTCTTTGCTGTTACAAGACTGATAGCTGCCTTGTCAACCTCCAGAGAATAATGTCCTGAGCCCAAAACCACCAGAATTGTGCAAGTGACATTTTTTGTGCCTGCAGTTCCTGGTACTTTAGCATACCAGAGGAGAGGGCTGTGCCAGGGTAGCAGAGAGATGTCCTAGAAGGTGCTGTGATGTACTTGGGGCTTCTTTGGCAGTGATAATGCCCCTCTCCAGACTTAAGACTATGTTCTTGGTGAGTCAAAATTTGAACTTCGCCTTGTTAAATTGACACCCTGGTATTTGAAGAAAATTTGCAAGTAAAAAAATACCCACTAGATGGCACAGATGGCTTACAAACATAAGCAGAAAGGAGGCCGGTTGCAACCTATTAGTAGTGGTGTTTATTACTTGCGTTATTGCAACGTCAGGGAGACTTAGAAATGGATCTGGATACTGTTATATCAAGTGCTGTAAAAATATAGACCTCTAGGACCACTGCTCTATAGAGGAGCTCTACACAATCCCGAGCATACAGCCAGAGACAAAAACGGTCGTGGAGGCATGAGGAGGTTCCAGTAAAAAGGTAGAAGGGAGCATTCCCAGGGTTTTGCACAGATATCCTGTTTGCAAAATTATGACAGGCAAAGGGAGTCCAGTCGCAAGCTCTTACAAAGAAACTTCTAGTTTAACACTTGGACTGCAAACTTCATCCTTGGCAACAAATCCCTGATATTTAAAAGAATCCTAACTCAGCTCTATGCTGTGAACATCCTGTTTGTTTTCTTTTCTTCAGATCTGCACCAGCAGCACAAAGAGGACCTGTATCTTCAGACAGAGGAGGCAGCTGGAACAAGCTCATGTTTGTTTCTTTTGTAGGCTTTTTGTTCAGATTTGCTTTAGTGTACTAGGTTAATCAACTGAATCCATGTCCTCTCTTTGTCTTAGCTGGCTATAAATTTGGCTTCAACTGATTTCTAACTGCAATTTCACTCTACTTCTGAAACCAGCAAACCTCCATATTAAAACCCTGCATACTTCTATCTAGGTACCAACTACTTTTAGTATCAAAAATTATTCTACTGCTGCAAGAAAGCCTCGCCCTTCATTTCTTCTTCTTGACTACAAGAAATCCTTTGCTGTTTCCTCTTATTCTCCAGAACTAAACTGAGAATAATACTTCCTGTTTGCATATTTCAGAAAGTGAAACTATGCCTGTCATACATCTCCCACGCAGCTTACTTGTTTGTAAAAACAATCCCAGCATTTGGCCTTGGAAACCAAGTGTCTGATTATCGTGGTTTTGGGACGGGGAAAAGTACGAATTCAGATAGGACAGAGCTTAGATTGTTCACTTGGGACAAGATACAATAGGTAAGGCAATGGTAAAATTAAACTTATTTTCCTAAGTTTTCCAATACTTGGGCCAAACTTACCCAAAACTATTGTACAGAAAGATTCTGGCTTGTCTATTTGCATATGGTATTTTACCACACAATATCATCAGCTGCTTCATCACCCGCACAGCTCTTCCTCAGCTGGCTGTTTTCTGACCACGGGACAGCCAATTGTTGGGAATACCAGGTCTAGAAAGTTCCACAGGTTTTCCACCATGAGGCGATGGTTGATCAACATGATGTAATTTATGGCATATCGAATTCAGATGAGAACCTGCCAAGTCAGACATCTGCCTGCTTTGCAGTGAACTCAGCTAGCGTGCTTCAGAATATATTGAGAGCAGATGCCACCTTGAAGGTCTCTTGAGTTATTTCTCAGAATTATTTAAATGTTCCAGCTAGATGCTCCTCCAAACCACCAAGACACCCAGCTACCAAGATGACAAGTAAATCTTTGGGAAAGAAAAAAAAAGAAGAAACAGAGAACTTGTTCTTCCAGAAAATAAGTAGAATTTTGTTGCACTTTCTCTGTTAGCTTCTCTATTATGTTTGTATCAGCTGGCTGTCAGAAAACTGGGATATGATGTTTCTCTTAGTGTATCTGGAGGACTCCATAGTAGATTTACATCCTTTCAGTCCCTGGTACAACTATATTATGCTGTATGTTTGAGAGATAAAATACCTAAAATATATCACTGTTGCTTATTTGTCTGGCTTCCATTGCTGTAATAATCTTTAATCTGGTTTTAATGCAAATCCCTTTATACTACACACATAGCTGTGCTTGCCTTTGTCACAGCTTGGTTTCAGCTCCAGACTGAAGGATTTTTGTGTCTGTTTCAGCCACTTGCAAGAAGTGCTGAAATCAGATTACACACCCTTGAATATCTGGGCTGTAATACACCTCAAAATTTTTCCCTACCTATGCTGAAACATTAGTCCTTTGATTAGTTACTTCCACATCCTTTTCATTTTTATTACTTGTTTGACAGTGTCCTTTAACAGCAGCTGCCAGAATAATGGTACCTGTTTATAACACAGACACGTCTCAGATAATTAACCCCAAGCAATTTTGATCAGTCTTCTGTTTGTCCTCAGCAGACACCGTTTGGAGCCCAGGCAGCAGGGACAGTGCAGGTGAGGCTCACAAATAGGTGCCCAAGCCATCGTTTGGTCTAGTGTTGTCCTACCCACTGCCCTGTGTATTACAGTGCATGTGGGATTCGGAGAACAGATTAATACCATTAACAAGCCTCTTGGGCAACTTCCATCCCCAAGCCAAGCATCCCAGCTGGCCAGCTTTTGCTTTCCAGCCTCTGGGTGCAATCTACTGCAGCAGCACAGGCAGCGCTCCCCGTCACACAGGATACCAAAGTAGGAAGTTCTACAGTCTGATCTGGGGGGGGAAAAAAAAGTAAAACACAAAGTAGGATACATTTCAAATAATTTGAGGTTATTTATTGCATAATTTGGTATCATAGGAAGAAGAGCTTAGGAATCTGGGGCTGCTTAGCCCAGAGAAGAGGAGACCGAAGGGAGAGGTTGTTGTTCTCTACAGCTACCTGAAAGGTGGGGGTTGGTCTGTTCTCCCTAATGGTGAGTGATAGGACAAGGGGAAATGGCCTGAAGTTGCACTACCCAGGGAGATTCAGGTTGGATATTAGGAAGAATTTCTTTACTGATAGGGTTGTGAGGTGCTAGAACAGGCTGCCCAGGGAAGTGGTTGAGTCACCATCCCTGGAGGTGTTTAAGAGAAGGATGGATGTTGTTCTGAGGGACATGGTTTAGTGGTGTTGATAGGGCTAGGACAAAGGTTGGACTCAATCTTGAAGGTTTCTTCCAACCGAAACTGTTCTATGATTCTAAGAAAAACATACTTGGAAACCTCTTGTGGTGTTTTCCAGTTTCTAATGTTCTTGCCTCTTTTCCCGTTACTTCAACTTGGTAGCAAAGATAGCATTTTTTTTTTCCATATCTTTTGAATAAACATCTCAAAGTTGCTGGAAAAACCCAGGAAGATCTGTAAAGACTTGTAGCTAATCCACTAAAATAGCTGGGAAGTTAAAAAAAAAAAAAAAGGCAAAATTCTAGATACATCGGCTTCCTGAGATCTTAAAGGCCACGATTTTCAAACTGAGTGTGGATCCTTTGTTCTGAGTTTGATATAATGGCTTTAATCTGTGCAAGAGAACAGTGTGACTAGCAGAGGGGCAGAAATGTCACCAAAGCAAGAAACAATAAGGTCATTTCTTACTCCCATAGAGAGAGACATAAACAAAAAGTTGTCAGTCTCTTTCATCCCTTCTTTTAAAATTGTTTCTACATCTACAAAGTGTGTGACTAGTGCTATTTACACATATTTTCCACTTACATGGTGAGAACTAGCTAGCTCTGCCTGTGCTGTTTTGAACACTCAGTAAATGTTCTGATTAGCAATGTCTCATGTAACAGCTGTGCCAAATTTGGAGGAAAATATAATGTCCAAAAGGCATCTGCCCATGTCCATAAATGTTGGCCTGATAATGTGCAGCAGGGTGTGTCAAATATGGATTCAAAGTGTTTCAATCTTTCATACTAAGACTGGCATTACTGCAAAAACAGCTATCTCCAGACCTGAATTCAAGGAGGAAAATGTTTCATATGAAAACACGTATATCACTTCATTTTGAATCCAGTTGGATGCCACAATCCTGTGTAGATCTGCTAATATCCAACTACTTATGGCAAGTGAAAGCATGTTTACAAGGTGCTCTGCATTTCTGCAGACAGACCTGTGGAAGCTACTGACACTAAAGTAGTAGTTGCAGTTTTGTGGACCACTTACATTATGTCATGCTTTTCATTCCCATATAGAAATATTCTGCTACATGCATTCCAATCACCATATCTGACAAAAGCCAAACTCTGACAGAGTAATTCCTTTGTTCAGCATGTATGTGTACACACACGTATGTATCTGCTCCTACCCGGTCTACTTTTAAATGCAAACTCTCAAGTGTTCTGAAGTAAGAAGTTATGAGAATAAAGCAAGGACAACTTGTTCACCTCTCTGCCTTTTTTATACTACTGGTGTTTATTTTTGTCATATTGGCCTTGATGTGATATTCAGCTGACATGACTGTGTTTCCAATCAGCGATCCTAAATGGAATGAAACTTGAACTGAAACCTCAAGAAGTTGCGTAATACTTTCAAAGTACTCAGAGCTAACTTTTCTGATAGTTTTCAGTTGGATTAGCTAGAAATAATTCTGATGTATTCTGCTTCACTAATACACAGTACCAAGTGGAAGAAGGGTGCTTTTAGCACAGCCGAGAAGTTTGTTTTAAAATAGCTCAGTATGAGGAGGCACAGTACCTTAATTCAGCCAAATGTTAGAGTGGCTCAAGCACTTCACAAGTGATTCTCTGATTTTCAGGTTTTTCCTAATTCCAGCTCCAGGTGAAGAATATAATCTGCCAGCTGTTGTTATGGTCTGCAGGCAGACTTGTTACTGTTCCCTGCAAATTGTGAAAGCAAACTTAGGGGATACCCCTGTTCCCTTACTCTCCCCGACCTTCTCTCTTTCCTGCAGCTGCTGCAAAGGCCAACCTGATCTCAGTGCAGATGAGCTTGTATTTTTAGCAGAATATGTGAGCAGAAGAATTATGGTGGAAGTTTTATAGAAGGAAAATGAGGGAGGAAACTATAACATACATTTCTCTCAGTAGCAGGTAGTGGAGTAAAGTAACTAGTCTTTCACATGTGACCATTCGACTAGGAATACCTCTGTTCTATGTGAGCGGTAAGGTCCTAAAGTGCAGACAGAAGGGATCCAACGGAACTATGTCTGGAGTATCTTGAGTTAGACCGTTAGTTACAATATTTAAGAAATAGTATTTTTTAATCCGGTAACTGTGTTTGCCTGGGCAGCTCTTAATGGTTACACCAGATACAGCGTGGCACCAGGTGCCAACGAGTGCTTGGATAAATAATTAACAAAGAATGGGAAATACTGTAGGCAGAAACTAGAGTAAGTCAAGAATTTGGCAAATGCTAGATCTATAAACTTCAGGAAGACTCTCTCCCCCCTCATTTCCAGCAGGTAAAGTCAAGAAAGCAGCATTAAGAAAGTAGCAGGTATTCTATATGCTACACTAAATCAGGGTACAGGCATGGAAAAGCTTCTAGGTTACACCATAGCCTTTTGAAGAGCAGCAAATGAGGAAGAAAAAAAAAAAAGTGTTCCACAGAAGTTTCAGTCTTGTGATACCAAATACCAGCTGTAGGACATGCTGGTCTGCATCATGCTTCATTCTTAGTTTTCCTTTTGTTTTAATTGAAGACACCAATAAATCTAGAGTTGGTATTTCCACCAAGCAGAATGAATGCTCTGGGCTTTCACTTTGAACTTGCTGTGACCAGTGCCCGTTAGCTGCTGGAATAATATGAAAAAGGAGTGATGACAAGCAAAATATATTGCATATATCTCATGATTAAAGAAAAAGTTAAGGACAGTAAGTATAACCAATAAACT